ACCAAGACCATTATTTATCATTAAAAAAGCCATATACATTACAACTATTAAAAACCCCGACCATAGGCATTATTGTACACAAATTTCCCGACCAAATATGCATTTGGTCTATCTTTTTGTAAATGATGATTGATGACGTCATTTTACATCATTTGATCCGATGACATCACGTGACCCCGATGACCCCGATGACGTCACGTGACCCCGATGACCCCGATGACGTCATCAACTCCGATGACCCCGATGACATCATCGTTCCCGATGACGCCATCTAGTCTCGAGCTTGCTCTAACCTGTAATGCCCGTACGCGTAGGTAGTTGCTCCGTCGTCTAGTATATACCGTTTAGTGTCTAATGGAGATTAGTCTGCTTGATCGTGTAAAGCATATGCTTGCTGCTTCGAATCGAGATCATGTCGCAATGCATATCCTTTTTACTCGTCAACACTCGCACGTAATCGTCGTGATTTATATGGTCCCTTACGACGTATTTGGCGACTCCCTTTGCCCGCTTGACATCCAGCCTCGAGTCTTGCGTCTTGATTGAATACATTTTTGGTCTGAGTCCTACAAATTCCGTCATGATGCATCCACCCAATTCATCCTTCATCTTGCCGAGAACCTTTTTATTTTTCTCGCTGTACAACAGACTGTCCTTGCTAAAGTTGCTCGTGTCGAACCAATCTAAATTCTCTTTGATGTCGGCGTAAACATCCTCGGTGGTGATTGACAGCAACAAGCTATCAGTGTCTGTGTACAATAGCTTGACACGATCGTCGTACATGGGTACGAGCTTGTCGTAGTAAAACTCGTACATTAAAAGCTTACTCAGATCCAAGACGGCCGTTCCGCAATAGATTGGTTTATTGAGCTTGACCCGCGTCTTGTTCATGTGAATGGCAACGAGATCATCGTTTAAAGCGACGTAGCTATTAAAGTTTGGTTTCGAGTAGAGCTTGTTTATTTTACCAGTTTCTTTAGTTTTGCACAAATGTACAATTTGCCTGTTGCGTACATTTTCCATAGTCTTGCCGAAAACGGAATTGTTCATTAGCTTGAAAAAGTCCTTTTCAAAGTCAGTTTTTGCCCCTTTTCTAAGCTCGGTATTCATGTCGATGTACTCTTTCATCCACGGTCTTTGCGTAAACTCGACGATGCGATGAACCTTGGTCAGCTTGAGCCCCTTTTCCAGATAAAACTGCAAGTTTCTATAGTGCACGACATATTTAGTCTTGGACATGAGGTTCGGTACGAGTTTCTCCGCCCCAGTATTTTCGTCGCCCAACAGGTCGATCTGATAGGGGCTCATCCAATCGCGGCGAGGCGCGAGCGTCTCGGGCGCCAGGGGGTAATCGTTAAACAGATCGTGCAATTCTTCCGGCACGCACAAGTCCACCTCGAGAATGTACCCCTTTTTGCTATCGACCTTTGTCTCGATGACCGTTTTATACTCGTCCGGATCGATCCACCTAAAATCCGATACGGGTAACGGCTGACTCATGGCCCACCCGTACAGATTGTTGGCAT